TGAATAAATAAATAATTCAAATGATAAATTGGTGAAATGAGATTTTTTAATTACAATTAATTCTCTCAAATAAATGGGTAATAACGATAAATAAAATGGTCGTCATCCCCCGGGGATGATTTCCACTTCCTCCCCCAGGTGTCTAGGCTAAAACAATTGAGGAAAGTAGGAAAGTACGAAAGTAAGAAAGTACGAAAGTGCTGGCACCTGAAGTCGCAATATTTATCTTTGATTTAAGTTGTTCCATGCAAATGATGATTTCGCGTGATGATGAAATGAATAAAAAAAAAAGGATACATGAAATTCAATCAGAGCACGAAGAATTATTTCCTCAGGTGCAGATCGGCACCGATGTCGCTGGCGATTTCACATTATGCAAGAAAGTCGTCATATGATGGCTCACTTCCGGTATTATTTTTGCAGGTTGTCGAGGGCTCGCGCCAAATACGAAATACGCTGGATGCATCTGCTCACGGTTGAAAAATCACGGTAAAACGTGAGTGTGAAATCGAAGGGGCCGAAATATTCCCTCCACATCTTACCGCCTAATTAACGTTCACTTAACAGGTGGTCACGACTTTATTTTGTCCTGTGCAAGTAAAAGTTTGCATCTGGCGATTTTTATGGTAATACAATGGCACAGATTTAATAACGGCTGCAGGAACATTATAAAACTGGGACGAAATCAGGGCATCTCGAGTACTTTCATTTCTCCGCTTTTTAAATTATCCACGTACCAATCAATTTTCACGAAATACACCAGATTATTGACGAATTATTATTCCGCTATCCCCATTTTTTTGTTTACCCGGGTAAAAAAAAAGTAGTGGGAATTTCTTTTTTCAAATTTTCAAAAAATTTCTGCAAGATTTTCCAGAATTTTTTTTTATGAAACAGAAAAAAATCGGACGAAAAAACAATTTTATTCTTGGGAAAGGTTTTAAAAAGTTTATCAAAAATTTAAATAGGAAAATTCTTTTTATAGTTCAGATGGCGTATTTTTTGAGAATAACAGTATAATTTAAAAAAAAATTATAAGAGTATAATTTAAAAAGAAATTATATTCGCAAAAATTTCTAGAAAATTATTTAAAAAAATTTCCGAAAGAAATTAAAAAAAATTTTGAAACATTGAATGGAAACTTAAGGATGATGTGACATCGAATTAAAATTGATTGCTGAGAAAAAGAGAGTGCAGTTGAAAAAAAAATCAATTAGGTTACGAGGAAAAAATTCAATCAGTGATTGAGAAAAAATGAAACTGAGGAATTCCAACTTCAGGTGCATATTAACTCATTCCATTCTTTTTCCGGTACACCTGGATTAAATCGAAAGGCAGACACGAGAAAAAGTGATCAATATCGGACCAGAGGCTCATAATTTCCGAGATCGAATGACGCTCTGGTCGCAAAAGGAGTCTCTCAAATTGGAGGTTTTATTGACTTCAAGTTCGATTACTGCATACACTGCCCACAAAAAAAAATACTTGAATCAAGTATAATACTTCATTCGACTTCATTCGACTTTATTCGATATCCGATTTCCGATTTTATTTCGATTTTTCAATGCGATATCGATTGAAAAATTCATAGTCTAACGACTCTATCATTTATAATAAATAAATTAATTCATTAAATTAATCAATTAATTCACCTACTTATCATTTAAACATAAAAATATTGAAAATCAAGAATCGTATAATTTTTAAGTTTCCCATTCGTGAAGATAGGATCAATAATTATTAAATAATTATAAAAAAACTTCAATTTCCTCGTAACTTTACCAGTGGCAAACGATAAATCGACAAATCAGGAATAAATAACTGTCAATTTACTGAGGAGCTGAACGTCGAGTATAAAAATAAATAAATTATTCATAGAGATGTGAAAAAAAAACGTGGAAACGAATTTTGTTGTTCATTGTAAGAAACTTTGTTATTAGAGACAGCCGGAAATAGTGGATGAAAGAATCAGTTAACAGAAGAAAAGAAGATTATGAATCGAAAGGTGGTGTCTTATCGTGACGGTATATTCTCCCCTCTCTTCGTCTTAAGAGTGTTTAAGACGTGAAAACGATGGGTTCGGTCTCGCTGGCACGAATTGGAAAACAATGGATATGCCACACGCGTATGCCACTGTGTAAATAACTAGCTGAGTTATTCAGAAAGGTACTTAACCCAACTCTGATGCAGTTTCTGCTCGATGCACAATCAACTTCCGGGTTCATTTAAATCCGTTTTAAATTTTTCCCGGTGTTATTTATTCCACGACGATTGTTCCACATATCACCATCGAGGAAGATGTTTAATTGAAATTATGCCACACACTGCAAAAAAAAAAATCAAGCTATACTTTTGATTTTTCCTATTCCGCCATTCGAGAAAAATATATTATAATATATCAATAATTTAATAATAAAAATTTGTCGACTGCAGTAAAAATTATCGGGCCCTTTGAAAAAAATTCTTTTAAGACCCAAAAAAAAAACGAAAATTCTGTGCGTGATGCATCTGGCGTATTTTATTATTATTATTATTATTTACTGTTGAGCATTGGAAAAATATAAAATAATACTTTTGATTTTTCCATTCCGCCATTCGTGGAAAATATATTATAATATATCAATAATTTAATAATAAAAATTTGGCGACTGCAATAAAAATTATCGGGCCCTTTGAAAAAAATTCTTTTAAGACCCAAAAAAAAAAACGAAAATTCTGTGAGTGATGCGTCTGGCGTATTTTATTATTATTATTATTATCCACTGTTGAGAATTGGAAAAATATAAAATAATACTTTTGATTTTTCCTATTCCGCCATTCGAGGAAAATATATTATAATATATTAATAATTTAATAATAAAAATTTGTCGACTGCAGTAAAAATTATCGGGCCCTTTAAAAAAAATTCTTTTAAGACCCAAAAAAAAAACGAAAATTCTGTGAGTGATGCGTCTGGCGTATTTCATTATTATTATTATTATTTACTGTTGAGAATTGGAAAAATATAAAATAAGAGAATTTCAGTTACTCAAAATGTTGAATGTAGTAATACCGGTTTGCTTTTAATAATAACGATTATGAGTTTGAAAAATTCTCAAGTTATCTTTACGTACTCAGCCCATAAAAATGATTCTTAAAAACGAAAAAATTTCTGCTCCCCAGGCAATTCCCAGGAATTGGAATAAATATTTGAGTTAATTTATTTGAAACGCGTGGTAGTCACCACCCACAATGAAAACCGAAGAACTGTATACGCACACGAGAAAGAATGCAGAGTACTCGAAACTCGAGTGACAATGGTGGCCGCTTTTTAGTAACAATGTGGAAAAAAAACGTGAAGAAAAAAAAAAGGAAGATGAAACTGAATAAAGATGGCATTGAAACGTAAATGAGTCGAGTTATGGGTTTGAAGTTGTTCTTTGGAATCGTGCGCACCCACATCCGTTTGGCTTTTCAAATGAAACAGCCCAAAAAACACGTTACGCAAATTAATGTTAACTTTGCATGGGCCAACGAGTCATCATATTTTAGTCACAAATTCGTGGGGCTTTGTCCTGCAAGACTAATTACTGATCTTTTTTCGACGAATTCCCCACCAGTGAAAATACCTCACTGAGAAAAAAATCTAGTTGATTAAAAAAAAAATTGTCTCCAATCTAATTGATGAAATTAATGCATAATTAATGATATACAATTAATAAATGTAATTTTTTCTTCTTATTTTAGACAAATCATTATTTTATTAAAATGGTATATTATATTATATCTATAATATGAGTTTAGTTATGCGCCGAAAAAGCTGACAAAAAACGTTACATGATTTTTTTCAAAAGGATTGGAATTTTATTGTTTATTTCCACGTGGAAAAATATATTCTTTGTACTATACTCTTTATATAAGAAATTTTAGATAATTATTTTAGATTATAATTAAATTTTGAATAAAAAAAATTTTAACTGGAATCTGTCATAATTTCTAATATTTTCCTCTGCACTCAGCAATCGATAAGTAAAATTTCTACGGGCAGAAATACCCAACGCCAAAAAATAGGACTTGCTCCCTTCATATTCTGAAGAAGATACGACAGATTTCCTGACTCTCACATCAACTGGTGGCTTGACAATTTTGAATAGTATGGACTCGGACTTCGAATTGAAGCCACTAGACATGATTTGAAGGAATAAATGAATAAATACTATTTATTGTAAATTACAAATGACGTTTTTATTCTACTCATCATAAATTACGGCCCTATTGGATTTATTCGGAGTACAGTCTTCATTCGTCGGTAATAATGGTTTTGAAAAAGCTTTAAAAAATTTTCTTAATCGATACTGATATATAAAATTGTAAAATTTTTTCATATAAAATTTTTTGTATAAAGCTTACCAGAGACATCAATATACCAAAGATATATTTTTAATATGGTCATTAATAAATGGCATAGACTCTATACACTTTGAAAATAAATTCAATACATATTCGCCAGTTTATAGAATTTTTTTTCTCGTTCATTGGTATATAACATTTTGTTTAACGTACCAAAAGCAGTACCAAGGCTTAGTACCTTTATATAAAGAAATTCTCTCTTTGCATCGCAACAAAATAAATTACTATCAGGCTACTGTCAATTGAATTTCCCTCCGGAACTTTTCTTTCTACAGGAAAAAAATCAGAAGACACTCAAAAATGCATAATAAATGAATATAATTGCCTCGAAACTATGGAAACAATTTAGAGAAGAGTCTAGATTCATCGGAAGAAGAGACCAATTCTAAATTGAAGCCCCTCCCTCAATTTATAATTCGCAATTAATTTATATTTCACCGGAAATATAATTTGATATTTTAATTGCGAATAATTCTAGTAATATATACGGAAGACTATTATTGCTGAGAATTTTATTCTCCGCAAGGATTATCCGGATTTTATTGAATCAAATTGATGTTTTGTGAAATTTCAATTAGACTCAACTGAATTTCCAATTGTGTGAGGTGAAATTTAATTTCAATTAAAAAGATGAGAATTTAGTAAATTCTCCATTCACATATAAATTCGGAAAAAAAAAACTTCGATAGATCGATTTAACACAACTATTTCATAGTACCGAGACAATCTTCCGTCTATCTTCCTCCAAATATTTCACACACCTCACGTGTGACTGGTCAAGACTGACTAGTCAAATCCCCCATCGGGATTCAAACTGAGAACTTTTCGCATGTGAATCGAGTACCTGAACCACTGGGCCAGATCACTGGTTTCATATATTTCATAACACCAACGAAATAAGCGTTTCTACACGAGAGTTAAATCTAATTTCTAGAGATTCAAATTCAATTACCACCTAGACGCTTAATTCAATAATTTAGAAATTTCGTAGCAACATCCAACATGCAAAAAGTCTACACTTTATGGTTTCCCTTTCCTCTCAATAATTGAATGCACCCCAAAATAATTTTCTGACACGATTAATCAAGGTGACGTGACTCAAAAATGTACCTGTCACATAAAAAAGATTCTATCGGTTCCCAAATTTTTATATATATTGTTGAATTCCCGAACTCTCGAGAGTTAACATAAAAAAAATATTAATCAGATGAAAATTTGGACGATTTGAAAAGAAAAAAATGGAGATGCTTTCCATTAATGATTCAAAATCGATAGTTTTTTTAATTTTTCGGACTTTCCAAAATTCGCGGGATAAATTCTCGTCCTTCGTGAGGATTTTGAAATTGAGATTTCCATTTAATTAAACTCATCACCTGCCTAGACCGACGCAGTGTCCTCAGTATTCCTCAGTAATGCAGCAGCTTTCACAACGTCCCCCCCACACTGACTCAACATGACTTTGCAGTCCTCCAGGCCCACGAAGTGGTTCTCCTTCTTCAACAGGCCCTGAAGACGCTCCAACTTGATAGCTGCAAGGACATCCCAATCAGTGACATTGAGAGCAGCCACACAGGACTCTGGTGTCGACTGATCGTGCAGGACTTTCAGCATAATCCGAACTTCGTCGGATTGTTCACCGTTGTGAGGTCCTCGAGTTCTTCTGGCGTTGGGACCGTCACACGCGAACTCCAGAAGATCTTCGCAAGAAACATGATCCGACTGTCTCGATAAATCACTCGTTCTCGTTCGTCTGTTATCAACATCTTGTATGGATTCATTTTTATTCAGTTTTGAAATTGGCACCTGATTACTGGAGGAAGACTCTTTTGGCTCTTTTGTGTCGTCGTACGACAGCTTTGAAGACTCTGATTGGGTTTCCAGGAAGGGACGGGAGGATTTTGGAGAGGCTTGGGGAGTTTTTTGGCAGTCCAGGGAGGAATTGTGGGATTCTTTGGAGTCGCTCTCGATCAGGTTCTCTGAGAACTCGAGGAGGTCCTCCGAGATGACGCTGCAACGGTGGAGACGGTTTGGCGATGGGTCCAGGGGGAGACTGTCCAGGGCGGCCAAGTCTGAGGCTATTCGTCTCTCGAACTCGTCGGGACTGAAAGTTAAAATTTCATTCATTCAAAAATCAGAGGAATTTCAAATTCATCATCGACAAATTTATACATGATCACTGTGATAATTCAAAAAAAGTCCAAAATTTATAGATTAAAATTCCAAGAATGTGCTTTCTTGCCTTTTCTCGATATTATTTATCTTTCTATTTTTAGAGATATTAAACATTGGAATTGTTAATAATTTTCCTAAAAATTGAAAATTTTGGCAAATTGTTTGGAAAATTGGAAATGCACGATAAACTATTCTAATGTACCCTGAACACTCACCTGTTTGGAGCAGCCTCCGAAGTACTAGCCTCTCCCCTGCCCCCAGAATCCTCACCCCTGACAATCGGTCCATCCACCTGATCCTCCACCCCAGTGGTGACCGCCATCTTAGCGAGTGTCCTCGTGACCCCATCCCCAGGAATGATCAACGGATGCTTCCGCTGATGTCTGGGAAGACTAGACTTAGGCTGCAGCGTCTTAGATCGGTCCCTCGGAGGCAACGGAATCGGATTCTCATCGACATTATTATGATTCTGATTGTTCTCGATTCCAATTGCCGAACTGTGTCTCTCCAGTGTCCTGGAGGTGCCCATCAGCGGCACATTTGGTGGTAATGGCGTTCTTATCTTGGGAAGTGTTGTCGATCCCACGTGATTGAAATCATACGAGAAATTCGAGTCGACGATCTCTTCGGATGGTGACAGAGTGCTGCTGAAACTTGATTGACGACTCGCTCGTAATTTTGAACGGACCATTGGCAATCCGGATCTCAGCATTCTCAATGGATTTGTATCCGTTGTATTATCGAGTACCTGTGTCTCCACCAGACTGTTGTACACCTCCTTAGCTTCGTCCGAGAGTGTCGCCTGTTCAACAATTTTTTTTGTTTTTTGGTTTCCGGGGGAAAGGATAACAAAAAATATTGGATAAACAATACGAAATCATCGAAATGATCAGATTAAATAAATAAAATAAATGATAAATTAAATCATGCGAGTGAATCATGTGCACTTGGTTTGGTTTTTCATATATTTCTTGTTTGTTTAATTATTCGTTCGTGTACAAATGGTATAAACTTGTAAATATATCCAAAGTTTGTCGTTTTCTTTTTTTTCCTTTTTCAATTGTCATTGTAGTAATACTACGAGGGTTATTTGATACAATTCATGCAAGCATGCTAAGCGTAAACACATTGTTTGGTAATAAAGTACGTGGGGTAATTATCGGTTCGGTTTCGGGAATTGTGGCACTTGAATTTTTTTTGGGGGCTTTTTCAAATTGCAGCGAGAACTCGTAGGCAGTGGGGTAAAACCGTGGGGAAAACCGGGGGTCATTGCTCCTGGGGGTGATGTATTCGATTCTTCCGGTGGTCGTCAAGCCTTCGGTGAAGCTTGAGTTAATTCAAGTGCTCAGGGAGTTTGGAACGTACGGATTTTCTGATTTCTTGAATGAAGGGTTCTGAGAATTCGGTGGAGTTCAATAGTATATTTCACGCCTAGGACGGAAAAAGGGGATCTGACGAATGCGACTTTACAGTCCGAGTCGGAGACGAGGATTATAACGCGCATGAGTCAGAATCACTTTTTCCGCCGTGGCTATGATGCCATTTTATGGCCGCAATGACATAAAATATTATTTACGACTCTTTCATTCCTCAATTTTTACGATCACTGAAAAATTTTTGTTGTGATTGAAAAATCGATAATTATTCATCACGAAAAATCCGAATTCTTATCAGATCCGAATTCTTTTTAGATGAACGAGACATTTAGTGAATATTCTCAGCCGAAAAAGAATTTCCATTCACGTAATTAATTCTCAAGTGTTTTTCCGTTTAACAAGAACTGAAATCCGACGACAACCGACTCGTCTCATTCCACTCTCCCTAATTTCGCGATTCACGGTGCAGGTGATGGTGGAAACGTGAGGGTATCCTGGGTAAATTCCGGATACTCAGAACTCGTATCCGAATCGAGTTCCGAGTTGCTGGTGAAGGTCAAACTAGAACTCGGTGCGCTTTCCGGCCAAGAGATCAAATTATTTCTCGATGCAAAAGGTGGCGATAGTGAATTTAAAAAGCTCGTAGAAGGCGGGGGTGACTTCCCGGTGACTTCCATCCCCATCCCCCTCCTCGCGCTCTCAGGATTCAAAAACACCCCCTTGTTCTTAAAATTGAGCTTAAATCCCTGGGGTATTTTCTTGTAGCGCCTCTTGAACTTCAATCGACTGCGGATATCAGTCTCCGAGTGGGAAATAGAGTCCGAGTCCTCGCTGGACTCATTGTCCGGGTGATAAGACCTCCTGATGCCCTTGACGGTTGTCTTTCTGACTTCTGATAAAGAAGAAGTCCTGTGTCGGTAAATATTGGGAATCCCCTGAACTTTATCGACGATTATTTCGGGTTTTGTCTGTTCCTTCTTCATCACGTCATTCTGGTAGACCTTCGAGGGCTCCAGAATGTACTGACGAATGGGGGAACCATTCCCTCCACCTGGAGCACTCGCTCTGACATTCGTGTGCCCCAAATCGAGAACCAAATTTTTCTGCAGCTTCATGGAAACCGTGGGCTTGCTCTCATTCGACAATTTGGGATTACCCTTATCACCGGGATTCCCCTCATTTCTCAATCCCTGATTATCGGTTCTGGGGCTCGACATTCGCGGGAGATCGAGATTCCTCGAATTTTGAGCAATATTCTTTCCCAGTTGTATCATATTCTGAGTCAATTTTCCCAATCCCAGATTAAACCTCTGACCTTTTTTCGCGTCGAGATAATTTTTCACTGATTCTAGGCCCGAAACTTCTCGCTGGTACTTCTCAGCGAATATTTTACTGCTCAAGTCCTCATGATTATTAACGTCGACGTCAGATTTGCGTCGTAGACGTTGGAAATTCATCCTCAGGCTCTCGGAGCTGCTGTAAACCGGCGATTCCTTCTTGTCGGGCTCCGAGATAAATAACGGATTATTCGATATGAGGAAGGGAAAATTGTCGTGACCATTTTTGTTCTCCTCAGTTTTTCGATAGCTCTGGATTTTTACGCGAACGGACTCGAGATTTGGTCGGGAGATTCGGACTTTCTGGAGGTCGAGCCGCTTCTCGACGTCCTCACGTGAGATATTGAGTTTTATCGAGCCAGGAACCTTAGGCCGCGTTCCCAAATCAAAATTGGAGAAAGATTCGGTGGACAGGTCGAATGATTTAGCCTTGGATCTTGGGGACTCGGTGGGATCGGTTGGTCTCGGCGTTACATCTCGAAAATCCTGATTGTTCATGACTTTTTCCTGCATCATCTTCTCCCTGCGCATTGAAATCTCCTCGTAATTCGTCCAGTATTCGCTCCTGTTGGTGTCGTCCATGTTGTTGACGTTTTCAATCCTCTGGGATTGATCCCCGAAGGTCTCAAGAGATCTCTCGATGCAGCTGAAGCTGCCCTCGTCCTCATAGTAAGTCGAGACATTCGACTGATCGAAGTATCGATCGACGTAACTAGCGGAGACTCTCTTGACGTCTCTTGGGATCTCTAGGTTTGGATTTGAGCAGTAGGACTTGCCGTTTACATTTGGCACGTGATTTCGTTGGTCAAGGGCATTCTTTGACAAGCGAGGTGTCAACTCTTTTCGGTTGCCGTTCTCCAGGAACTCTGAGGACTTTACCAGGTGCTGTTTTACAGCCTCGTTGTCCAGGAAGTGGCTCTCGAAGTCCACGTCCATGTAAGATGTCCAGGCACTTGGTTTTGTTAGGAGTTCGCGGGATTTGGCGAAACAAAATTCAGCTGATGCTTTGTCCCAGAGGGGGAGCTTCAGCGTTGAGGGCGCACCGAGGGACTCTATACTTGATACGGTTGACGATAGGGATTGCAGGCTTGTACAGAGCCACTGGGGTTTCCAAGTGCACAAGTGGTAAATCAAATGATAATTAAGTGGGAGGATGGGAATGGGAGAGTAAATTAATTGTGTTAGTAATTGTTTTTGACGTTTGTGGAGATTCGTTTGTTGGATATTTTAATTAGGAGATGAGATGGATTTCGTCAACAAGTCGTTATCAAGTTTTTATTACTTTTGACAATAGATTATTTTCCATTTTTGAGAAAGAGAATTTAATATGCGGGTCGAGTGGCCATTGATGGTGGGACATGTCCATCACAAAATTATTCAACAATTCGAAATTTTCAATTATCTTTTAGGCGTTTCGCGTTTTTTTTGTATTAATAATTGAGTTGGGAAAATTGAAAATAAATTGGAATTGGATAATATTATTATTTTTTTATATTCTCTTTGAATAAGTGAATTCTTTATCTTAAAAGAGATTGACAATGAATGATTGTCTTGACTATCAATCTTTTATTCGTTTTTCTATTGGCCGATGGATCGATTGATCATTTCCATGTTATTGTGCGCTACAGTGATTGCCTAGTAATTTAATAATGTACGATGGATTGATGGAAGAATCGAAATTGGGAATAATTCAGATTGAGAAAACATCCACATATTTTTGTTAGCGCATTGATAGATTAATATATCCCCGAATAAACTCATCTCCTTATTCAAATAATCCAAAGATTTACTTTAAGGCACCAGGAATTAACGACGCTCATCATCCCCTCACGATACCACACACTGTTAAATCATTACACTTGAAATTTCAAGTAAAAGAACGTACAATTTATAACAAATAAAATATTGATGACCAAGTTATTGAATTTAACATTCTATGTTTCGATTCTCAACCCGATATGAGGATTTTTCATTGAAATTGAATTGACCTCAATTTTAAAATTTCAACGACTTTGTAACTGAAATTTCAAGAAATTTTTAACAGTGTACGATATTTGAATTTTGTTCAATGAAATATGTATTGTGAGAACTGTTAGTGTCTTGATGTATTAAAAATTATGTAAATAAATAAAAAAATAATGTGTGTACCTGGATGTCAGGTATACTGGCAGCTTCCTCGGAAAAGTGTCGCCTATCGGGTTTGGGACTGTGTTGATGTGGCAACTTAAAACTGAATTTTCTGCGTCTTGAGGGGCTTACTGGTGTGCGTGGTGATTCTGGTGGATGTTCAAGATCCGACATTGAACGAGCTGTCAATTCCTGCGCCATTGCTATCGCCGAGTACAATGTTTTCTGATCGGCGGCAGATATTGGTTTCACCTGGATAATTCATATTTTGTTGAAAACTAAAATAATCATTCAGTGGTGAAGTGATGAGAGCAGAAATCCATGTCACCGAAGAAATCGGACTTGTTGCACATTTTCATTTAAATAATACAAATTTTTATGAATAAATATAATCAAATGAATTTAGTAATTAATGTATTGAACTTAAATTTTAAATAAATAAAAATAAATAAATTTTACTGTACATTTATGGGACTCACGGTGGCTTGTTTCTTCTTGGAGCTCTGTTTGGCTTGCATTTCTCTCAATTCGTTTCTCACATTACTCGCCTCATGATCAGTGGAGCCAGGATGACCTGGCGGTGGTGGAGGTGGAGAAGTCCCTAAAAACCCATGATTATTGAATACTCATGCAATTCTCTTGAATTTATATGAAAAAAGTTACAAATTGATTCCACGAATTTAAAACTCACCTAATGACCTGAACATCTGGTCCATCTCATCAAGCAGACTGGGTCCAAAATCAAAATCCAAAGGCTTATCAAATCTAAGAGGGCTGTCCTGATTCTCCTCATCACTGATCTCATGGTACTCATGATCAGCAGGCAGACCCTCAACAATTGCCCTCTTGCCCCCAACAGCTTTAGCTTTCCCTCCATTCCCCATGACCACGTCATTACCCTCCCAAACATTCTCATGCTTCACTTCCTGCCCTCTGCTATTCCTCCCAGTATCATTCCTGCACTCCCTGCCCTCTCTCACATCCCTGCAGTCCCTCCCATCCTGATTGACAATCTGACTCGAATTATCAGGCACATCCTCATGAGGTTTGTACGGCGTCACCACCTGTCTCGGTAAATGTGGATATTTTCCTCCAAGAAAACTTATGTCCCCGAAATAAGCTCCATCGAGTCCAACGTGCCCTGTGTGCTTGAGATCGCCCTGGGGTGAGGAAATCATATCAGTGCGAATTTTCCTCCGCTGAGACGAAAACGCATTCTTCCCGTCGCCTCTGGAAAATTCACCAGGTTTATTACTAGGTAGATTAGACCCCAAATAAGCAATTGTGTGCGCAGGATTGAAGAGACCAGTCTTTCCACTGGGGAGAACTCCCTTCCAGAGGATGTTGTTGCTCCCTTTATCGAGAACAGTAATGATGTCACCCTGTCTGTAGCACAATTGGCCGATTTCTCCGCTATCCTGCACCGCCTGGACCTGTTCGGGCTTGAGGTCTGGGAGGAGATTAATTAGCTCTGAAAATTTTGGTCGTTTAGCTGGCTCGTGCTGCCAGCACTGTAGCATCAGGGAAAAGTAGTCCTTCGGGCAGCAGTCGGGTTGTTCCAGGCGTTGGAAATTCGGCTCGTCTATTGCCTCCAGGATCTGGTGACCTGTCAGTGCTGCCCAGGGTTGGAAACCGTAGCTGAACATCTCCCAGAGGGTGACACCGTAGGCCCAGACGTCACTTGCTGAGGTGAACTTCAAGTAAGAGATGCACTCTGGTGCGCACCAGGCGATGGGAAGCTTCAAGTTTACGTTGAAATTCGTTTGGTAGTAGTCCTTGCCAACTCCAAGGGCCCGGGATAAACCGAAGTCTGATATTTTGACCTTGTTTTTGGAGAATACTAGGATATTTCGAGCTGCCAGGTCTCGGTGGATCAGTCTTTTGGCTTCTAGATACTGCATACCGTCTGATATTTGAATAGAGAAATCGCACAGAGAGAGAACTGGAAAACTGCCTCGTAAACTAGGCTCTTTGAGACATTCTAATAGAGATCGAAGTGGTGCTAATTCGGTGACTAGCATTAGAGAGTTTGTATCGAGAACAACACCGTACAAACGTACAATGTGCTCGTGATCTATCGCATGCATTATTGCTGCTTCTTTGAGAAATTCAATAGGATTATTTTGCATTCGCTCTCGGGAGAGACACTTTATGGCCACTTGAATTCTCTCACCGTCGTTTGTCCACACACCCTGCTGGACAACACCAAATTCACCCATGCCCAACTCCTTGTTCACGATTATTGCATCCGCTGGGATCATGTGTTTGTTTGGAACTTTTATCGGGGGCTTGTCTTGTTTTTCTTCTGGAAGAATTGCTAGGGCTCCTGAGGGCACCTCCTCCCGTTTTGAGAGGAGCATTTTCTTGAATTTTGAGAGGTAGTTCTGGGGAAAGTACTTCTGGAAATACTTCTTTAGGCGACGCATCTCCGGTTTTGACATACCAATCGCGTTTAGGTCCTCTTCTGTTACGTATTTTAATTGGGCTGTCGTTTGAACTTTCAGGTCACCTGGAATTTATCGAGTTTCGTGGGGAGAATTTAATCTTCAGGGCTCTCAGAATTCATGAATTAATTATTTATGTTAATGATTACTAAATCCACTTTTTTGAAATGTCAGATGAATGACAAATTTGAGATTTTTTGTGAAACCTCTTTGGTCTCCCTAGAAATACTCAAATTCTTCTCAGTCCATTTAAAGCTTTAAACAATTAGGGGAATTTACTCGAGGAATTCAAATGAAATAACAACAAAAATAAATTCCTACCTCGAATTCCCGCGTAGTACTGCTGGAGTTCAGCCTCCATGAGGAATTCGTAGAGCCCCGGGCCGGCGTTTCTCGAAATTCCACTCGATATATCTGTCAGAATGATTCCGAATGAGATTAAAATATCGGCTGGAAATGACTGAAAAGTTTGTAATCCTAAAACTAACAAAAACTCATTTTTTTTCTCGTTTTTCTTTTCTACTTTGCGTTCCTTTTTCACTGGCTTATCGTGAGGATAATGCGACGATAACCGAAGGTACATCAATATACATTGAACGCATACCGAGATATCGGATGACTAGCGTGAGAATTCAATGGCATCGAGTATCAATTACCAACAAAGGCGGAAAAAAAATGAAGAAACTGAAACACATTCTTTTATTTTTTAACTAAAAGTATTTGTCTTGTTTTACAAACTCGAATTTTCACGTTCGACTTATTTTTCTCAGGACAATTTTCCTAGCTTATATTCTCTGTAAATTAGACAAATTAATCTATAAATGATTAAAATTCTCGAAATATTGAACGAAATAATATTATCTCACTGCCGGTATCTGAGAAATGGTAATTATCTCATTTTTCTGAATAATTATATCTCTTTAATTAACTGAGGGGAGTTTAAATCGTCATTAGTATGAAACAAAATAATATCAAGAAAATAAAAAAAAAAGTTAATAATTGCGAATTCAGCAAATTGGAGTTTCAGAGCAAAATGTCAGGTCTTTCCGAATTTCATGACTCATACACAGAATTTCTGATATTTACGCCAAACATCAATTATTAAAACAATTAAAGAATGAACAGTAATTTCGAAATGCTGAACATGCAAAATTCCATCTTTTTGGATTATTGAATTATTAAATAAAAATCAATTCCAGAGCAAAACCAAAACATTTGTGAACTTAGAATTGAATTTCTTCTGAATAAATTCCAATGTTCTTTCTACTCTTGTTAACAAAAAAATGAATTCCCAACAAGAAGTATATTGTAATTATCTCTGAAAATGGGTAATAACAATAAATAAAAAATAGCAAAAGTCGAGGGATAAACCTAGAATAATTATTATTCATGAGGCACGCCTCGGCAAAAACTCCACCACCAGAATAAAGCCGAGAAGTCAATTTATAAATAGACAATCCAAGCAATTCTCAACTAAAACAAATGAATCCAATCACTCACCCATTTTCCTATTTCCGTCAGTAAATCTGGATCTCCTCTAAGACACTGAAAGATTCATAGAATCAATTACTGCCCGGTTGTCGCCCCACTCCAAAAAAAAACCCCTAGAAATTACTGATTAAAAAAATCTCCCCTCGGTGCATTTTCCTCACTGACATTTTCCCTCATTAAAAAGTACTTTCCCAAGAGACATTCAACTCTCACTCAACACGAAACACAACAATGGGGTTTTGTGCTTTGGTCTTTACTCTTTCCCGTGATTTTCACTGTCAACAGACCCGCCGAGACCACTGGTAAATTTCCCTAATGATCAATTGTTGTTACAAAAATAAAATTTACACGGAATTATAGGGGGGTTGGGGTGTAGATATTTTGATGTGAGAGATGGGTTTTATTGTTTTATTCCTCATTGGGAATTGTTCCAGGGGTGATGCACTTTTACTCTACACATCTTGAGGCTTGTGCTCCCAATGCACATCTTTAGGCTTAGAAATAAAGGAGAAGTGTTTGTCGATACAGTATCGATACTCTCCTGTCGATTGTTGGCGATGCGGTGGTATATCGATAGTTTTTCATCAGAATCGATACTCTACCGGGGACTTATTACGAAAAATCGAGTAATTCTAAACACATCAATACTCGATATTTATGTGCCCTGAAAAATATGAATTATTACTTAATGAAAAATAAAAAATTATCATTTTTTGAAATTCTAAATGCATTTATTTAAAATTGGGGATTCAATTTTTAAACAAAAATTTAATGGAAATTAGGAGAATGTGATGTTTAAAGAAATTTTAAAGTAGAGAACATTAAAAATACTGTTTTTGAAATTTTTACACTGTAATTCATGTATGTGTCATCCAGGATTCGAAAATATCGATGTTTACCGTATCGATAGGCCTCACAGCGATACTTAAGTCGATATTTTCAAACTATCGAGAAATCCCAGCAGCCAGTGGAAGAACATTCGAGTGGCTGAAGTTGTCTCTTACTGAGAGAGAACAAATTTTGAATTTCCAATGCCAAATGTTGCAAAATTTTCCCATTACCCAAAAATTCAAACAAAATAATAATATTCTAGTACTTAATTTAATTTAATATACCGCTCTGGGATTATTTCCTTCCATAAGCAACAATTAAAAATTAAAATAAGTAATTATTCCAGGGTGAACTCAGCGATCAGCTGTGCTCACTCCATTTTCTTTTCCGACCTGTTCGGCGCAGCTCAGCCCCCAAGATTCAGACAGGGGGTGGATAATTTGGTAGTTATTCCATCAATAAAAAATACAGAATTAATCTCCTCGGAAGTATCATGACGACTTCGTGAGTTGTTTCATGATTTTTTATTGATAATAATTTTTTCAGTGAAATCATGGCATTGGTGCTGAGCAAGGGCGGCCTTAAAGCGTCCTCCGGATTTTTCGGGGGATTATGTAAGGTTAGTGTTCAATTGAAAACATATATCCCTTCGTGAATATAAATAATAATAAATAATAAAACAGGGGTGGAAGGGCAATTAACGATGATTCATACATTCGATGAGAGGTTACGGTTTAGGGAGTCATGAGATTAAGGATTCGTGTATTTAGATATAAAATATGTTTGAGAAATGATTGTCCACTTTCAGATAATCTGCAAAGAAAGTTAATTGCTACTTCTTTTCGAGTTCACATGTTTGCAGAGAAAGTTTACGTTTACGGGAGTGGTAAATATGCAGAAATATTCTTGTGAATTTTCAGGTGGCAAAAGGAAGTCAAGTGACTCAAGTCGCCTTCATCACAGGAAAGAAACTCCGAGAGAATCGACCCCCTCGTCCACCCCCATTTGATTACAGAAACAAAAACTACGGGCAATGGCACGTCTGGACAGATCCAATGGAAAAACGTTTCGATGACAACTCAAAAGTGATAGTCGTTGATGGTCTGCCAGCAGCAGGAAAGTTCGAGTTCTGCAAAAAATTAGCTGACGAGCTAGAGATGTGTCACTACCCTGCAGTGACGTTCGACGATCTTCACGTGGATCCCCACGATTTCGATTACAGAACTTTGAATTCAAAATTGCCGATCGACTGTCAGTACGTCGACATCAACACTTTCCTGAGGGATCCCAAAGGATTCAACAGCACTTCTGTCCAGGTCGAGGATTGGCAATCGTATTTTTGCATTGTACTTCGACGATATTAAATGATAATTTTTTGCGATCTAGGTTCACCAATACCTGTTGAGGTGCATGACGTACATCGATGCTCTCGCTCATGTCCTGAACACTGGAGAAGGAGTGGTACTGGAGAGATCGCCCTGGTCTGATCGTGTCTTTGCAAAGGCCATGGAAACGTGCGGGTACATTCCGAGAAGGTGCATGGATTATTATCAGAGCTGCAATGCCATCAGTCTCTATCGACTTCTCAGACCCCACGTATGCATTTACCTTGATGTACCAGTCGAAACTGTAAAGGTAAAATTCATTTTCTCCACTTGATTGACAAAAATTACCTTTTGAAATATTTGCTGGAATTTTCTCGTACTCGCTGTCCAGGCTAGAATTGAAAAGAGATGCCGCCCCGGTGAACACGATTCTCCAGCCCTAACAATGCAGTATCTCAAGGAACTCGATCGAATTTACAAGGAAATGGTTCTGCCCGATGTGTCAAAACACGCTCATCTCCTTGTGTATGACTGGGAGAATGAAGGCTATATGGATGACGTTGTGGATGACATCGAGGTACTGGAATGCGATCCTGAAAATATCCTGGATCATGGCGAGAAACTGCAGGACTGGCATTTCGCCACTGTAGACCAGATTCGAGCTGCCAGAACCAGCTTCACTAATCACAAGTATCAGTTGCTCCAGGGCGCCATCCCCTGCAGGTGGGATGTTCCTGAAATGTTGAGGAGTCCACAATCGTCGTTCAAACATTACCTGACCCTCGAAGAACTTTACGAAGATGTAAATATTCGCGCTCTTCTTGACTAACATACTGAATTTAATTATTTTTATCAACTAAATTGAATTACTCTGTATAATTTTTTTAGGAGCCAGGCAAGAGATTTTCTCATGGATTTGATCCAACCAAAGACGAAGGCGTCTTATGGAAGAGCAAAGATAGGTATGAGGATTCTGCCCGCCCTTCTAGACGATTTCCACTCAGGAGGACTTAAGAAAAACTTTTCATAATACACAGTGTTCTCTATTAAAAGGCAAATATTGTAGTACTCTACTGGTGGATTGTGGCAAAATGTAATTAATCAACCACAATGTTGTACAGTTGGTTTCATTAAACATAATGTAATACAGATTTTTTACTTGATCATTGAAAAAGTCCCTGTGTAAATTAAAGTTAAAAATAATTTAGCTTTATTCAGGTTTGTACACGTATATTTTTTGTCTTCATAATTACAAACACTTCACAATAACTTTAGGCGCGTTACAATAATTCTTTTCATTTTTTCATTTTGGTTTTGCATTAATTGAAAATATAATTAGTAAATGTCTGAAGCAACGACGATATTTCTGTGAAGACTATTGTGGCGATGTCTCGTGAACTAGTAAGTTCAGGATAAAGTGCCAGGAGATTTTATTGAAGAGGATAAAAAACTTCGGGCTTCTGAAATTTTCAACCAGACTTAATCGCTCCAGAGACATTCGATAAATAATCTCTAAATTCATTTACATTCGTCTCCAAGTGTTCATCACTCATTAATAATTATACTTCTCCACTCGGTCAGTTAAATCAATTGGTTTAATTAAAATTGGAATGCATTCACGATTTCATACAGATTCTTACAAGTATTATGAAGTGATGTAGTCATCATTGGTTATTTACAATACTGTCAAAAATAAGTGTCTCAGGACGATTCTGGTTGGTACCATAGAAACAAAGAAGCGGAAAACATGATTTCAGTTATTCAGTTACTCAATGAAACGCGAAAAGATCGAATGGCAGTAATAAACTGACACGAAATTCTTCAGCGACTTCGTTAAAAAATTCATCTCCAATAGAATCAGTGCCAAAAGAGAATACAATTTTTCAACAGAAGCCAACTAGAATTTTTTCATACGGAAAATCACGACCAGCCAATCAACATTTACACAAATGGATATAGGTCACGGTTATTGAGATGTTCGTCATATAACGGTCCGTTTAACAGTGAATTATCTTTTCCTTTTAACATCACATTGAAAATAGCTATTCCTTGTTTTGCCTAATTGACTAATTAATACAACCCATCAATTGATCAATTAATGCAAGACAAGAATGAAATACATATTTTTTTATCAACTTTAGATTTCATATCATATTGTGTTTTCAATTTTCTTTATAAATTCATACAGTTATTATCTCAGTAACTGGAACATTAACAGGTGGGGTGGAACGAGTGAGTGCTCTCGGCTCATTCTCTTGCATTGATTAATTAATTTATAGGATATTTCGAATATTAAGCTGTTAAACTGCAACAGGAATTGGTTTTCCTCGCTGTTTTGTAAAAGGCTTTCGATTGGAGGCTCAGACCCTCGGATTTTTGCACTAAATCGTCGATTTTTTCACCTCTTTGGAGTACAGCTTCCAATGTGTTATGCTAATTAATAAAACATGATAATTCGATTAGCCACTGTCATAATGAATCGAAATATAATTAAAACCTATAAACCATTTTTTAATAAAATCCCATTAAATTGGTTTTATGAGAAAATTGTAGAAAATCAAATTAAGGAGATTAATATTTTTTGTTGATGTTATTCAATCGGTTCGTTCTCCGTTTTATTTATAATTTTTTTTCAACTACTTACCAGTATAATTTTTGTTTCGTCCAAGTCGTTCTGCATTTTGGTGAGAGCATCTGCCTCCCTAGGATTCTGATATTTTGCTAGGTACATATTAATCGATGGAAAATCACAGGTGGCTTCGTTGAGAGTTCCCCAAGAGCTCGGAGGATATTTTCCCGCAAAATCATCCAACACTTTTGTAATCAACGTATGCGATACACGATTAGGATATTCGTGATCAGATATCAAAACACCGGCGAGACTATCGCCACGAACGTAAACGTGACACATGTACTCTGAAAAGAAAATTGCCAACATATTCCCGTTGAGTTAATCACAACTGTACAGGGGCTTGAATTTATGGAATTGGACATACAAATGAAAATAAGAATTTCAGTGATAATCAGAAATTATGAGACGTTATCAGAAATTAATTGAATCATTGACTCGGTGAAGGCTGGGGAGTAACTCCAATTTGATTAATTATTGTTAAAAATTGGAAAGTTAACTCGATTTTTTGTTGTTGCTTTCCTCAATCCCTAAACTATGTAAATTAAAAAAATAATGCCAGAAATACCATAAACGCTTTCTATCAAAACCTAAAAAAAATTTTTCTTAACGATAAAAAAATTCTTAAAAGCTGTAACACAGTATTTACTCAGTTTGTCTTTAAACTGTTATCAAACACCTGCAGATAAAACAATGTACATCTCCTATGAACAGATGTCAACTCAGTACCGAGAATTATGTGTAATAATTGTCTCTGGGTTACATATATATCTCGGCAACATTGAAAATTAAATGCGTGGGACTCGTACAGTTAAATCTAGGAATATAGCTATTGATTTTCCATATTTAACACGACAGGATGTGACTAAAAGAAAAACAAAACAAAGTTCAGCAAAAAAGGTGGAAAAAATCATCGAAAAAACAATGAAATTTCCATTTATCCATCTGCTCCGAAAATAAATGGAATTTATCGATTAAAATATTTATTACCTCCTTCCTTGACACTTTGTCTGGCAGCAATCTGTGTTCTTTCAACAATTGTTTTACTGACAAAACCCATAAACTCCTTGACACTTCCCCTTTGAAAATAAGAGAATGACTCAACCTCGTAAGCACATTTTAATGCACTAGCTGATGTGGGTGCTTTATAAAGTACTGTCAATGCATAAAGCTTAACCATTTTGATAATTATCAAATAACACTTGACACTGGTCACTTGGAGAAAACTTTAAAAAGGTTAATTAGCACAGCTGAATGGTTTTATAAACGGCTTTCTTCCTGTCTTAGAGTTTTATTGTCTCACTCGTTCTCTTGTCTTGTGAATCGAAACGATGCACATCGAGAGGTTAAAAAACTTTGGAATACCACTAGTGCGAGAGAAATAAAAAGCGTACAAGGCGTTTACAAAAAGATTACGACAAAGAGGATTGACTGAAGTAGAGGCTCAGTTCTGGGGGTTTGAGTGACCTCAACAGCATCGTAGTACTGCACCCCAAGAGAGGGAGGGCGCCACACGCAAGAGGAGTGTCGCCCCATCAGCCGGCAACTGTCAACTGGGTGAATTTTATTTTATATGTTACGAAATTGGTATTCACTGAAATTAAAAAATGAAAAACTTTCAAAAAAATATCAGAGGGGCATAAAAATAGAGGAGGTATTCACTGAAATTTGAAATTTCGAAATTTTCAAAAAAGTATCAGGGGAGTATGAAAAGCATGTCGAGCATCGAGGAGGTATTCACTGAAATTGAAAAATTTTAAATTTTTAGAAAATACAATTTAACCAGTCGACTAGTCCGTCTGACAGCGGGACTGCTACTGAAGCAGTTACCGAGTCGGCTGACGGGCAGACACCCCACCATTGGGTGCGGCCCCCTCTTTCTCTTGGGGTGAGGTACTCGCGCAGAACTGAGCCGCTCAGTGGGGGTTTGTGTGAGAAAGAGGGGGCCGCACCCAATGGTGGGGTGTCTGCCCGTCGGCCGACTCGGTACCTGCTTCAGTAGCAGTCCCGCTGTCCGAGGGACCAGTCGATTGAGTGAATTGTATTTTCTAAAAATTTAAAATTTTTCAATGTCAGTGAATACCTCCTCGATGCTCGACATGCTCCCCTGATACTTTTTTGAAAATTTCGAATTTTTCAATTTAGGTGAGTACCTCCTATATTTTCATGCTCCCCTGATACTTTTCGAAAAATTTTGAAATTTCAAATTTCAGTGAATACCTCCTCGATTTCCATGCTCCCCTGATAATTTTTTGAAAAATTTGAATTTTCAAATTTCAATGAATACCTCCTCAATTTTTATGTTCCCCTGATACCTTTCCAAAAATTTTGAATTTTCACATTTCAGTGAATACCTCCGCGATTGTCATGCTCTCCTGATAATTTTTCAAAAATTTCGAATTTTCAAATTGCAGTGAATATCTGCTTGATTTTCATGCTCCCCTGATACTTTTTCAAAAATTTCGAATTTTCACATTTCCGTGAATACCTTTTCAATTATCATGCTGCCCTGATACTTTTTCAAAAATTTTGAATTTTCGAATTTCCGTAAATACCTCCTCGATTTTCATGCTCCCCTGATACTCTGTTCAAAATTTCGAATTTTTCAATGTCAGTGAATACCTCCTCGATTTTCATGCTCCACCGACACTTTTCCAAAAATTTCGAATTTTCCAATTCCAAAGCCCCACTGTCCGATGTTGCCCTGGTTTCCAGCGATTGCCGTAGTTAGGGACAAGGCATCGCTTGAGATCAAGGTTCGAGTTATGTCCGCGGAGTACGAGTAGGCCTTAAGGCCCGGACGGGGGGAAATTTTTCGCGAGTGACGACTTTACGCCCTCCTACTCGGCGGACAAAACCCGAACCTTGATCTCAAGCGATGCCTTGTCGCTAACTATATTAACATATTAACATATTCGTTTATAACTCGTCGAGACGCATCGATTTCATGTATTGAAAAGTCGATTTG